GAGTGAAAAAATATCGTTAACCAGGGGTCCACTGTATTACATTGTATTATTTTTTTAAAAAACCCTTCTCATATACAGTAGGGCCCCACTTTTCGGCGTTTCGCCTTACGGCGTTCCGCTAATATGGCGATCGCAAATTATGACCAAAATTTTCTACACAGCAAGCTGTCTTTCAAATACGGGGCACGCCACCCGGTTTGTTTACATTCTCCATGAGCGCATCTATTATGTAATAATTTTCACTCCTGGGCACATTAATGTCTAATTTTACGTCGATATAGACACTTTCATTAATCCATCTATGATATTTTCTTCAAAATTATATAAGAAACACATCACATAGCAATAAACATTTTGTTTACATGTTATGGAGGTATGATTGCCGGGCGGAGAGAAAACATTACGTAACACGAATAATAATCACTCTTGAGCACATTAAATGTCTTATTTGCAGTCAATATAGACATTTTCATTACTCCATTTCTTGTGCTAGCCAGGAAACTTGTAGGACTTGTGGTAGCCAGGTAACTTGTAGGACTTGTGGTAGCCAGATAACTTGTAGGACTTGTGGTAGCCAGGCAACTTGTAGGACTTGTGGCAGCCAGGCAACTTGTAGGACTTGTGGTAGCCAGGTAACTTGTAGGACTTGTGGTAGCCAGGTAACTTGTAGTAGACAGGTAACTTGTAGGACTTGTGGTAGCCAGGCAACTTGTAGGACTTGTGGTAGCCAGGCAACTTGTAGGACTTGTGGTAGACAGGTAACTTGTAGGACTTGTGGTAGCCAGGTAACTTGTAGGACTTGTGGTAGCCAGGTAACTTGTAGGACTTGTGGTAGCCAGGCAACTTGTAGTAGACAGGTAACTTGTAGGACTTGTGGTAGCCAGGTAACTTGTAGGACTTGTGGTAGCCAGGTAACTTGTAGGACTTGTGGTAGCCAGGCAACTTGTAGGACTTGTGGTAGCCAGGTAACTTGTAGGACTTGTGGTAGCCAGGCAACTTGTAGGACTTGTGGTAGCCAGGCAACTTGTAGGACTTGTGGTAGACAGGTAACTTGTAGGACTTGTGGTAGCCAGGTAACTTGTAGGACTTGTGGTAGCCAGGTAACTTGTAGGACTTGTGGTAGCCAGGTAACTTGTAGGACTTGTGGTAGCCAGGTAACTTGTAGGACTTGTGGTAGCCAGGTAACTTGTAGGACTTGTGGTAGCCAGGTAACTTGTAGGACTTGTGGTAGCCAGGTAACTTGTAGGACTTGTGGTAGCCAGGTAACTTGTAGGACTTGTGGTAGCCAGGTAACTTGTAGGACTTGTGGTAGCCAGGCAACTTGTAGGACTTGTGGTAGACAGGTAACTTGTAGGACTTGTGGTAGCCAGGTAACTTGTAGGACTTGTGGAAGCCAGGTAACTTGTAGGACTTGTGGTAGCCAGGCAACTTGTAGGACTTGTGGTAGCCAGGTAACTTGTAGGACTTGTGGTAGCCAGGTAACTTGTAGGACTTGTGGTAGCCTGGCAACTTGTAGGACTTGTGGTAGCCAGGTAACTTGTAGGACTTGTGGTAGCCAGGTAACTTGTAGGACTTGTGGTAGCCAGGCAACTTGTAGGACTTGTGGTAGCCAGGTAACTTGTAGGACTTGTGGTAGCCAGGTAACTTGTAGGACTTGTGGTAGCCTGGCAACTTGTAGGACTTGTGGTAGCCAGGCAAATTGTAGGACTTGTGGTAGCCAGGTAACTTGTAGGACTTGTGGTAGCCAGGTAACTTGTAGGACTTGTGGTAGCCAGGTAACTTGTAGGACTTGTGGTAGCCAGGCAACTTGTAGCCAGGCAACTTGTGGTAGCCAGGTAACTTGTAGGACTTGTGGTAGCCAAGCAACTTGTAGCCAGGCAACTTGTGGTAGCCAGGCAACTTGTAGGACTTGTGGTAGCCAGGCAACTTGTGGTAGCCAGGCAACTTGTAGCCAGGCAACTTGTGGTAGCCAGGCAACTTGTAGCCAGGCAACTTGTGGTAGCCAGGTAACTTGTGGTAGCCTGGCAACATGTAGGACTTGTTGCAGCCAGGCAACTTGTAGGACTTGTAGCCAGGCAACTTGTGGTAGCCAGGCAACTTGTAGCCAGGCAACTTGTGGTAGCCAGGCAACTTGTAGGACTTGTGGTAGCCAGGCAACTTGTGGTAGCCAGGCAACTTGTAGCCAGGCAACTTGTGGTAGCCAGGCAACTTGTAGCCAGGCAACTTGTGGTAGCCAGGTAACTTGTGGTAGCCTGGCAACATGTAGGACTTGTTGCAGCCAGGCATCTTGTAGGACTTGTAGCCAGGCAACTTGTGGTAGCCAGGCAACTTGTAGCCAGGCAACTTGTGGTAGCCAGGCAACTTGTAGGACTTGTGGTAGCCAGGCAACTTGTGGTAGCCAGGCAACTTGTGGTAGCCAGGCAACTTGTGGTAGCCAGGTAACTTGTGGTAGCCAGGCAACTTGTGGTAGCCAGGCAACTTGTGGTAGCCAGGCAACTTGTGGTAGCCAGGTAACTTGTGGTAGCCAGGCAACTTGTGGTAGCCAGGCAACTTGTGGTAGCCAGGCAACTTGTAGGACTTGTGGTAGCCAGGCAACTTGTGGTAGCCAGGCAACTTGTGGTAGCCAGGCAACTTGTGGTAGCCAGGTAACTTGTGGTAGCCAGGTAACTTGTGGTAGCCAGGCAACTTGTGGTAGCCAGGTAACTTGTGGTAGCCAGGCAACTTGTGGTAGCCAGGCAACTTGTGGTAGCCAGGCAACTTGTAGGACTTGTGGTAGCCAGGCAACTTGTGGTAGCCAGGCAACTTGTTGCAGCCAGGCAACTTGTGGTAGCCAGGCAACTTGTGGTAGCCAGGCAACTTGTTGCAGCCAGGCAACTTGTGGTAGCCAGGCAACTTGTGGTAGCCAGGCAACTTGTTGCAGCCAGGCAACTTGTAGTCCAACATAAGAGACAATGTGTACACTATAATATGTATTACTGGGGGTAACTAGAAAATTATTCCTTTAGTATGCCTTCTCTCAGGGTGTTATTTCTTCTAAAAATGATGTTACATGAGAATAGGAGTGATTCTCTTTATTTATTCTACTGTATCAGTGTGGAGACAACTTGTACACAATGGAAAGTGACGAAAACGAGACGTGTTCACCTGGTTTATTTACAGTGTGTGGGTGGGGTGGGGAGTGCTTCCCTGACTGGATTCCATATTTCCCAGACCTGACTTCCTTCATATAAAACTCACCTCTCACCCTTCATTAAGACTACAAATATTTTAAGGTAATGAATGTTCTCCATGGGGAAGTGGAACAGAATTCTTCCTCCGTAAGCCATGCGTGTTGTAAGAGGCGACTAAAATGCCAGGAGCAAGGGCTAGTAACCCCTTCCCCTGTATAAATTACTAAATTTAAAAAGAGAAACTTTCGTTTTTCTTTTTGGGTCACCCTCCCTTGGTGGGATACAGCCAGTTTGTTGAAAAAAAAAAAAACTTAATGAATGTACTGTATATGTATTTTATCCCTCTGGGGAGCTTTAATTAAATGTAGCATGTTAAGATAAGATAAGATAAGATTTCGTTCGGATTTTTAACCCCGGAGGGTTAGCCACCCAGGATAACCCAAGAAAGTCAGTGCGTCATCGAGGACTGTCTAACTTATTTCCATTGTGGTCCTTAATCTTGTCCCCCAGGATGCCACCCACACCAGTTGACTAACACCCAGGATGCCACCCACACCAGTCCACTAACACCCAGGATGCCACCCACACCAGTCCACTAACACCCAGGTACCTATTTGCTGCTAGGTGAACAGGACAATAGGTGTAAGGAAACGTGTCGGAATTTCCACCCACCGGGAATCGAACCCGGGCCCTCCGTGTGTGAAGCGGGAGTTTTAGCCACCAGACCACCGGGCCACGTGGGTGGGGTTGGCTGCCCTGGCTGGCTACCATGCCTCCCAAACCTGACTTCCCACAAATTATACTCACCTCTCACCCTACATTAAGACTACAAATATTTTAAAGTAAGTAATAGGTGTACTGTGTGTGGATTTTACTTTTTATTGTTTTTAATGCCTAGTTCTATTGGTAACATGATATATGTTAGTGTAAACTTGTTACCTGGCATTTATATGCATTTGTAAGTGGAAAAAATGGCGTTCTGCTTTCCGGCGATGTCTGCTTTCTGGCAATGTCTGCTTTTCGGCAAT